TGAAACTCTGTCTTAAATAAATAAATAAATAGCTGGCAAGTAATGGAGCCTGGATTGGAACCCCAGTCTGGGCAGAGCTTGTGCTCCTAACCCTGACTTCCAAGGGCTCCTAGATGAAATGCTCTGGGGCCTTTTGGCAGAAGTGGTGGGAAGGGAATTCCAGGCTGGAGGAACAGCATGTGCAGAATGCTCAGAGACAAGAGAAGTTCCTTCATTCAACAAATACATATTGATCATCTGCCTAGAAGGGCCAGATATTGATGCAGGTGCTGAGGCTGACAGGCTCCCAGCTCTCCTAGAGCTCACAGAAATGGAGGTGACACACATTCAAATAAAACAAAATAATTTCAGCAAGTAATGAGTTCAGTAATGAGTATATTAGCCCCAGTGAAAGCAAGTGACCATGATGTGGCCCAGGGAGCAGGAAGGCATTCATTTAGGAGTCTCAGGCAACAAGTAAGGAGGAGCTGGCCCTGTCGGGAATGAGGGGAACAGCATTCCAGGCTGCGGGAACTTCAAGGCAGCCACCGCAGAGCTTAGAGTACAAAGAGAAAGAAGGCACAAATGCCATGTGATGGAGTTTGCCTGCTGGTACCCTGGGTCCACAGCCTCTGGCCTGCAGCAGGCTCATTTCTTGGACTGCCCGAGATTGCCTGGCAGCCAGGAGGAAACCCTGCCCTTCCTGCAGACTGCAGCAAAGAGTCGAGGAATGTCTACTTTCCATTTCCTCAAGTAAATGCCAAGGGAGTAGAAGACTGGAGGTGCATGTTCCCTGTGCCAACCTGCCCCCCTTACCATCCCATTCCCATCTCAGGAAATGGCCCTCCATCCTCCCAGAGGCTTGGCCTAGACCGAGGAGTCATCCCCCTTGTCCTAGCATGTCTAGTTGGCCCAGCCTCTAAAACCGATGCCAAATTCAAGGACTTCTCCAAGGCCCCTGCCAAGTCCAGGCCCCATTATTGCTCATGCTATAGCAATCACCTTCTCCCCGTTCTCATGCCTGCAGCTACTGCCGCTCCTGCAGCCTCAAGAGGACATCATCTACATCACATCAGAACATCCTTTGCTCAGAACTCTCTGAGGCTCCCACCTCACTGGGCGTAAAAGCCAAAGTACTCCCTGGTGACAAGCACCTGGACAGTCTTCCCAGTCACCTCCTGGCCCTTCTGTCCTCAAATTCTCCCCTTTGCTCACCCTGCTCCAGCCACCATGCCCTCCTGGATGTACCTTACAGCAGTCCCTCCCTTTGCTTTGGCACTCTCTGCTTGGTACACTCCTGTTCTAGGGTATTGGCATGGCTCCCTCATCTCCTTCTGGTCTTTGCTCAAATGTTACCTTCACTAAGTCTTCCAGAATACTCTATTTAAAGGGTTATCAGAGTCCAGCCATGGTGGCTCACGCCTGTAATCCCAGCACTTGCAAGGCTGAGGCCAGTGGATTGCTTGAGCTCCAGGTCCAAGACCAGCCTGATCCAGAGGGAGACCTCATCCCTAAAAATAGCCAGCATTGTGGTGGGCACCTGTAGTCCCAGCTTCTTGGGAGGCTGAGGCAAGAGAATCGCTTAAGCCCAGGAGTTTGAGATTGCTGTGAGCTGTGACACCAAGGCACTCTACTAAGGATGACAAAGTGAGACTCTGTCTCAAAAATAAATAAACAAACAAATAAATAAATATAAAAGGGTTATCAGGCTAGGCACAGTGGCTCCCACCTATAATCTAAACACTTTGAGAGGCTGAAGTGGGAGGATCATTTTAAGACCAGCCTAGGCAATAGAGCAAGATCCCATGTCTTTTTTATCTTTTTTTTTTGAAGACAGAGTCTCACTATGTCACCCTGGGTAGAGTGCTGTGGCATCACAGCTCAGAGCAACCTCCACAAACTCTTGGGCTTAAGCAATTCTCTTGTCTCAGCCTCCCAAGAAGCTGGGACTACAGATGCCCACTACAACGCCGGGCTATTTTTGGTTGTAGTTGTCTGTAGTTGTCATTGTTGTTTGGTAGGCCTGGGCTGGATTCGAACCTGCAAACTCTGGAGTATGTGGCTGGCACCCAAGCTGTTGAGCTACAGGCACTGTGCCAAGGTTCCCTCATATTTTTCTTTTTTTTGAAACAGTCTCACTTTGTTGCCCTCTGGTAGAGTGCTGTGGCATCACGGCTCAGAGCAACCTCAAACTCTTCAGCTATGTGATTCTCTTGACTCAGCCTTCCAAGT